CGAATTATTTCTGGTGCTGTCCAATGAGCTGTTCCTATAGAAATAATTCGAAATCCTTAATACAAATCTTGATAAAATTTTCTATATTTCTCTATCGATATCTACACAAATTGTATATATATATATACACACACACACACTACGACAAATATATACATAAAACAAATAGCAATTCAAAATGAGATAATTATTTTTTTTTTAAAGTGACAACAATTTCTACTCAACTTATACATTATTTGTATTTGTATATTAATTATCTTAAATATAAGACAAAAAAAATTTCGTTTATCTATTTAAATCTATCTTACCAATAGTTCCTGAATCTGGTTGATTTTGATTGGTAATAGCAATAAGTCGTCTTGATGTACCAAAATCACTTAATTTTATATTACCTGATATATCTCTTAAAATATTAGCACCTTAAATAATAAAAAAAATTTTTATTCATTTATTTAAATATAACTAATATTTAATTACATTTAATATCACGATGAACAAAATGATTTTCATGTAAATATATAAGACCTTCAAGTATTTGTTTTGTATATTTTTTTGTTAATTGTTCTGTTAATGCACCATAATTTAATATTTGTTCACGTACAGATCCACCTGCCATAAATTCCATAAATATTTGGAAACAATCATCTGTTTGTAATGCACCATGATAACGAACAATACGTTCATGATCAAGTTGTTTATATATATTGATTTCACATTCAAGAATTTTTACTTCCTTTATATATGAATAGAAAAGAAATACAAAACAAAAACTGTTGTTTTTTTTTTTCTTATATTTTAAAATAGAATTCATTTACTTTTGTAGTTTCAGAATTAAGTCCACGAATAGAAATTTGTTTTATTGCTAATTCACTACCAGTATCAACATCATAACAAAGAAAAACTCGACCAAAAGCACCTAGAAAATAAAAAAAAAAACAAAGAATATTATTATAAAATTTCTATTGAGATTAAGCTTTCGTATGTTCATATCTTTAGTTAAACTATGAATATTAATTAAAATCAAAAATTAATGATTTGTATTATTTCATTATTTTTATATTTTACCTTGTCCTAATTGTCGACCTAATTTCCAATTTGTCGGTGTTTGTGGAGCTAGCAAAAAAAAAAAAAAACAATTAATTATTTAAAAATCTCTATTTATTCTTTTGATATAATTCTATTACATTTATATTGTTGACCAGAACAAGAACATTGTGTACGTAAAGATTCACATAAATTTGTTTGAGATGAACTACTACTTGAATTTATTCCACTACCACTACTTGTATTCGATGATGATGCTCGAAGTCTAACAAAAGATGTATCTATGAAATACAAAAGAATATTAATATATATATATTTGAATTTGAAATAAATAAAAAAGAAAATTACTTCGTAAACGTCGTCTTGAATTATGTTCACTTCCACTTGATTCTCGACTAGCAACAGATGAACCACCACTTGAATATGTATCATCACTCTATTATAGAAAAAAAAAACAATACAAAAAAAAACAAAACAAAAAAAAAGAAAAACCTAACTGATTCTGGAATAAAAATTCCTCCATCTTTTGGTATTGTTGTTGTACGATATTTTTGTGATGTAATTGTACCTGGTGGTGGTGAATCAAGACTAGTATCATCAAATTCAATAGTTTGTCCATCATCAGATATTGAACTTGAATCATCATAATTATTCATTGATATTATTTGAGATATTATATGAGATTTTTTTCTTATTAAAAGAAAATTAAGTTTATTTGAACCATTTATTTCACTTATAGCAAGTACTTTATTTAAATCTTCATCATTTTTTATTGATAAACGTAATATATTATCACGTGAAAATAAACATTGAATTAAATCAATTGATAATAATATACGATGACCAAATAATTTTTTAATACATTGAAGTAAATCAGAATATGTAAATGATTTTGATAAACAACATGCACGAATTTGACCATCAAATTCAAATTTTAATGTCTAAAATTTGAAATTTATTTTATATTATATTTAAAAATTACAATTATAAATACTTTTATTTGTTCTTGTGGTTTTTTACGTTGTATTGCTTGTTGTAGATTAGCTTCAATTGTTGCCAATACATCTAATTGATTTGCCATAATGAATAATTATTATCTTATATCATCTAGAATGTGTTGACAACATATTCAAAATATCAACCAAAAGCAGAAAAAACAATATATAAGTACACAAAAAAAAAGTACAAATGAAAGATGCGTCTAACGTTCCAGCTGTTGATCATAATAGAGAAAGAAAAAAAAAAGTAGAATCTCAATTCTACAAGCTGATGCAACCATACAACTAAAAAGACAGAGGTCAAAAATAGAAACCAAGATTCGTCTATCGTTATGTTTGATAGTCAATCAATCGAACCGAGAGAGGAGAAGAAAAAAAAAAAAAGAAAACGTACTTTCGTCAAACAATATTCAAATCTGAATATATAAAAAAATATTGTTTTATTGATTCACAAAAATAAAAAAAAAAAAAAGAAGACAGCGTCAAACTTTTACACGTTGAAAATGTCGTTGTTACTGTCGACGACTTAACAAAAAAAGACAATAGAACGCAAAAAGACTTAAATAAATGAAAATTATTCACATGAATTTCATGTTTTTTTCTGTATTCTTTCAATTTTCAGTGTCAATAAAACATTCATTCTTCAAACTATACAAAAAAAAAAGAAACAAACGACTTTTTTTAATGTGTATGCTTGGCTGAAAATTCATTCAACACATAGAGAATTCCATTTGAAAAAATATCAAAATACTTTGAATGAACAGTGTTTTTGTATTACAAAATGACCTGACTGTAGAATACAAAAAAACAATTCTTAATGTTGATGTATAATTTAAAGTAAAATGCCTGGTAATCAAATATGAGTCTGTCTGGTGCAGGTAAACTTTTGCATCTGTTTATTATGTCTAAATGTAAAAGAAAAAACAAATATATACGAAAACATCTCTTAAGTAGAATGAAAATGAAAGAAAACTTGGTAAGAATATGAATGAATTAAAAATATTAAAAAGAAAAAAATTATAATTCAACTAATAATATACAAATATGGAAAAATAATAAAAAATTGGTTCTTTTTTTTTTTTAGCTATTTTTACATTTTTAAATTAAATCAATGACACATCATTGTTGCACTAAGTTTTTTTTTTTGTTGAGATCTTGAAAATTGTGCATTCTAATTTTTATTTAATTTTCAAAATTATATATTAGAATATGAAGATATCTAAATATAATACAAGATGAACAAGTCATCTCGACATTAAGACATCTCTCAAAAAAGTTACTTTTCATCAGAATGATCGAAATTGCAATAAATACAGGAGAAGATAGCCCATGAACTGATCTCTCATAAATGATAGAAATTTTTACTCGGTATCCTGTTGTTTTTTCGAAAATTTTTGCTATCTTCTATTCGAAAAATAAGCCACTTTTGAAAAAAACCAAAAAAATCTTTTTCGTTTTTTTTCTCAATTCATAATATTTTGAACGCATAAACAAAATTTCTCAGTCCAAGTTCACATTAAAATTTTTTTCTTTTTGTTAGAAAGAGCATGTCAAGATGCAGTGCACCAAAGAGTCCTTTTTTTTTAAATAAGCTTTTTTATTATCATATACGAGAATACCTCTATGGAAATGGCGTCATTTTTTAGAGGTTTTTGAATTTGTCATCTGTCTTTTTTTTTTTATACTTAAAAAGTAAGTATTTTAAAAAAGGACTCTTTGATGCACTGCATCTTGGCATGCTCTTTCAAACAAAAAATAAATATGTTATACCAGCCTTGACAGAAAAATCTTGTTTCCCAAATTTGCTATTGTTGAACCTTGTTTGATTCATATCTCTGTCAAAGCTGAAAATTTTACCATAACCTTCCCACTACAGTCCGAACATATCCTGAAAATTTCAGCCAATTCGAATGTTGTTCAGCTGAGATCGATTTTTGAGGGGGAGGCTTAAAGCATTGCAAAGATTTTCTTAGTAAGGTATTCATGTATGCATGTTTTGTATGCTCTTTTTTTAAAAACATTTATAAGTTATTTATAGATCTGTTGTAAGTAAATAATCATTAGAGGGACAGAGTAGTTTTTTTTTTGAACGTGATTTAATCAATATAAAGTTTCAGCTGGTTAATTTAAACATTAAGATGACTTTTAAACTTTGTTGTTAAAATTTAGTTTACTGAAAATTAAGTGATTAAAAAATTAACATACGAATAGTAATAGTTCATATCGATTAGAGAAATTTAGTGTACGAAAATAATTATTTTTATTAAGCATGACTGAAATTATTGAATATTGCTTGTAAGAAATTTTCATAAATTAATAATTCGATATCAAAAAGTTTCAAGAACAAATTCAAGCTAAAAATTGAAATTAGCGGAGTCCTAGTTCAAGAAAACGTTATTATAATCATGACATAGGTTTTTCCAAGTCATAAAAATGAAGAAAGCTGAATATTACAAAAAATTTTTCGAGCAGACTCAACGAGTTTCAGTTGAAACTGTCAGTATATTCTACTAAAATAACTCAATTCCAAAAGTTCATGGATACGAGAGCACGTCGGATCAAAATTTTTTAGACCTGAACCGATCCGGTGGTCATTAATGGGCACGAACAGTTTAGGATTTTTCTTGTCTTACGCAGATCTCCTTGTTAGCATAATATAAGCTTAAATAACGAGTATCAGTGCAAGTAGTTTTCTTGTTATTAAGGCATCTAGTTTAATGTAAAATCAAGTATAAAGAGAAAAAGTTAATATTAATGATTAAGTGAATAATTAATGTTTAATATAAAATTGATATATATATATATAGTTGAATCTACTCGCAATATTTTACATTGATATGAAACTACATGTTTTTATGATTTGTTTTTGAATATAAAGAAAAACTACAAGATAAAATTAAAGAAAAAGAAAATGTTTATGCAATAAAAATAGTTAGTTCGTTTTGTTTTTTCTTTTGTCTATAGAAAATCTTCATCAAATTTAAGTAATTGTTGTCCGCTAAGATTTTGTCGAAGTCTTCCTCCTTGATTTTGCTTTTCGTCTTCTTCTGCTACAGGTTCAATATAACTTTGATTTGGTTGTATTTGAACTCGTGGTGAACTTAATTGTGTTGCACTAAATTCAGAACGTGGTGGATCCTGATAAGTTTGATATTCTACACTTCGACGACGATTAAAATAATTATCACTTGCACGTCGAAGATATGCAGTTATTTTTGGTTTTGTAATAGATATACGAGGAATTTCATCATTAGTTGTAGTACCTGATCTAACTTGAGTAGTTGTACCACTACTAGCAGGAATAACTACTGGAGTTTTTCGTTCGAATATAGATGCTTTACGTTTAGGCGCTGGATTCTCAGTTTGCCGTTGTTCTAGAAATAAATATACATTAGATATTAAATGATTAATTTATGAAAATTAGATTTACTTTCAAGTGCTAATTTTGCATATTTTTCTTCAACTAATTTATTCCATCGATCTTCTAATAAATTATGTGGTATTTGTTTTTTCAAATTACGTATAATACTCTTGGTCATAAAGAAATCAATACAGAATAATACATTAAAACACATAAAAATACCCATTACTGTACCAAATACAGCTGCAAGTATAACGGCAACACGATAATCAGAATAGGTTATACCATGAAAACAAGTTTCTACTTTATTTAAAGTTGATTGAATACTTGGAGGTGAAATATGTAATGCAACAATACTTGAACCAATAGAAATATCTCGTGGTGTTTGTGTACTATTAGCTATAACTAATATGGAATTATCATTTTGATTTGCTTTACTTCCCGATGCAAAATATAAACCATGATCAATAACAAATTGAATATTACTATAAGTTCCAAGTGAATTTAAAGGTCGAACAGATTTTGGACATCCATTTGATTCTAAAACAACTTGATAAATACCTGTTGTATAATCAAGAACATAAACATATATAGCACCAGATATATAATCAAATGCTATTGAACGAAGTTGATTTAATTGAGGTGGTGCTTGACAACATTGAAGATTATTTTGATTAAAATTAGTACATGAACTTATTTTTGTATCAGTTATAATAAATAATCGATTTATTGTTTCAGCATAATTTACTGAACGTACAGTATTTATAATTGTTGTTGGTATTGATATATTAATTTGCATTAAACCACTCATAGAAAATAAGTTAACATTACCCATTTGATCTGTAAATAAAGCACGTCGATTATCAACATCCGATGTAAATGAAGTTAAATTATTTATATTTGAAATATCATATTTAATTGGAAGTTGATAAATAGTTGAATCAAGTGTTTCAAGACTCATTAATTGACATAAATAAATACTACCATTTGTTTCATTTGTAAAAAGTATATAAAGATTACGTAGTACAGAATCATATATAGTATTAATAATATTCATATTTGAAGGTGCTGTAAATATAATAGTTAATTGATCATCTCCATTATATTCTTGTGGTTTCATAATATATATTTTATTTATAGTAGATATAATAATAGCTCCAGTTGGAATTGGATTATAACTACTATTAATTATTGTAAATAATGAAATAAAACTTAATAATAAATAATTCATTTTTATATGAATTATATAAGGATAATGTTACTTGAAGACAACAAACAAACAAAAAAAAAAGAAACGTTGTATATCAAATAATTGTATAATGTTTATAGTTTGTTTTTCTCTTTCATCATTACTTGAATAGTTATGCTTCAATGATTCTGTATGTTATTATATATTTTTCTTTTTTGTGATTATATTTAGTTATAAATATTGCTTATGAATCGTTAAATAAGTCCACGTGATTTCTTTATTCACTTGTGTATGCGCGCAGATATATAAATAGATATTTCAATATTATTCAGACAAAAAAAATATTAATCATAATAAATTTAAAGTTGAAATATGTAAATGTATAGAAATCAATAAAACAAAACAAAAAAGAAGAATAATCATTAATATGTGCTATAAATTGATATTGATAAAACGAAAACAAGTGCATACTATTAATCGAAAATTTTCACTAAGAACTTTTGATTTGTTTTTTTTTTGTTGAGCTGAAAATAGATCTCTCTATGGGCGAAATATCATTTGATTTGCATTTATATCAGAGATTAAAACTTTTGTTTTGTTTTCATCTGATATTTGATAGTAGTCAAGCAGAATGATATCCATCTCTCTTCGAATAAATATCATATTTAGAAACAACATAAAAAATTATGTCGATTTATGTATGTTATAAATTTTTCTTGCGATCAAATTGAAATAATCGACTAGGAAATTTTTTTTATGGAAACCACTTGTATCAAATCATACACAAAATAGAAACTTATGATCTTTCATTCTATATATATGATTCAATGAGATTGAAGTTTGAAAATTAAAAGTGACTATACGAATTCTCAAGGCACAAAATGAAATAAATGTCAGTTAGAAAATAGAAAGATTTTCTTTATATAATGATGTATGTATAATCAAGTATGATTGCATACCATCGAAAATGTCAACAAAGAATGCTACCTTTGGTCGCGCGGTTACAGTCGACTAAGACGGAGGTGGCGCACCTCTGATTAATATCTCAGAGATACGCAATAGAACTCGATAATACTAGATAAAAGAATTGTTGCTCTATTAACCTACAAATATCTCATTCTGCCGTTAAAGATCATCATGAGACTTAGATATTCGACTTTCATTATAGATAGAATCATATTATGGTAATTTCTATATCTATATCCATTCTACTATTAAATTTAATACTGTTATAATAATAGATATAAATGAAACAAGTTATGACCTCGATAGACTCGTGATAATTTCAGTTATATATTTAGCTAATCATTTTTGCATAGCAATTCTTTGTTCGAATTTTTCTTTTTTTTTTTTTGAATATTCAATTAATTATGAACTTCTACTGTTATAATATTTTGTATTTCTTGATTATCAGATAAAAATAAGTCAAGTTTTTATCTATATACTTATGTGTATATATATATATATATAGACAACTTTATTTGTTTTGTCAAATATTGATATATATATATGTGTATATAGTAAAATAAAAACACTTCCTGAATATTAAAAAATGGGAAATATAATTACAAGAATAAAGAAAGAAATACAAAAAAAAAAGAGCATATTATATCAATATTTGAATGAATTTGAAATAAAAAATCAAATCAATATATTCATCACATTAAATGAGTTAATGTCGTTGTTGTACTGTCTGTATCTTTTCGTGTTGATCCTACTGTTTTTGTTGTTATTTTTGTTGTAACACCACCAGTAGATGATACAACAGGTTGACTAGTATGATTATTGTTATTACTGTTATTAGTAGTAGTTAAATGTACTGTAGATGAATTTTGTTGACGTACATTTTGTATAAAATCCTATAATATCAAAATAACGTATATATATATATTTTGTATGAATAAAAATTGTTATATCACATATATAGAAAGAGATTTAAAATACCTACTGAGTTATTTATTCTTATATCTTACATCAATGAACAAATATGTCTATAGAAATATATTTGATTTCATCGTTCATTTTCTTTCCAACTGTGAACTATTTACATAAGAGAGAATATTTATCCTTGACCTGATCTCCTTTGAAAAAGACTAATGATTGAGATAAATATAACCTATAGTTGTTGACAACTTTTGTATGTATATAATATACTCGAGTTCATATGTGTATATAAAAGATAAGTTGTCCGACTGTAACTGACATGTATTGGTATCAAGTCCTCGAATTAAAGGACATATTCACATGTATCTATTAATACTAATAACTATGGTATTCAATGAACAAATATATACACAAACGATATATCATTTGACATAAAGAAAAAGAAAATTTTTTTTGTTTTTTTAATTTTTCTCATAAATAATTTTACACTTACCGATGATAATGCATCACCATTTGTACGTCGTATATGATAAAAATAACGAAAACGATTACTTTCATCAGGTATAATATGTTCACGAAGTGTATCTTGATGATAATGATGTCGAATTTTTTTAAAATTTGTTGCTTTATATCGTTTTTTGCCTGCACTAATAGCTAAAAATATAAATAATAATCATAATTTAATTTTTCACTTTCTTTTCTTTCATTATTCATGTCTATGAATAAAAATAAAAGAGAAAAATTTTTTCTGTCTTATTCTATTGTTTTCAACATGCATAGACAATTCCATTAGTTTTGTCTACAATCTAATTAACCATATAATATATACAGAAAAAGAAAAAAGTTTATTTATTAATTATGAATGTCTCGACATCAACATACGAAAGATGTATTATATTTATTTATTTTATCGTTACATTAATTAAAATATAATCAACTAATTGAAATCAATCTTATTTTATTGTATCGACAATAGATTTGTTCTTATCAATAAGCTTCTGTATACTAATGATAACATCTATATATATATATATATAGTCTGTACTATGTGTATATTTTTACTTATGATAAGTATACATGCCTAGTAACTCACTTCATATACATGTTCAAGGTTAATATTCTTACAAATGAAAACAAAAAAAACGAACGTCTCAAGAGAAATGTATCGTAAACAGTTGATTAAACATGAAATTATTTCTTCAGACAAAACAAATAATGAAAACCGATATTTAATTTAAATGAACAATACAGACATATGTCGTGAGTTATTTTCAAGTGTTCATATAGCACTCAATCTTATAAGAAAAAAAAAAAAAAAGAATAATAGCAAACATATGCATTCATTATCAAGCTGGTCAAACTCTTATATTGACATAAGATGAAGTCAACATTAAATGTTGCGTGTAAAATGTTCAATATAAAAAGATATGAAGAATAATAAATGATCAATAAGTCAATAGGATTTATGCACAAGAGATTTTTCTTTTATTCATAAATTACAAATATTTATCAAATATCAAGGCAACATAGACTTAACATTAAAGCTAAGTTCTATTTCGATATAAACAATAAGATAATCAAATTCTCTATTTATAGAATCTTTGTATTTAGGAAAAGAAAAATCTTAATGTGAAGGCTTTTTCTGGTCTATTATATGAAACAAAAAAAAAACCTTCATCAAGTTGATAAATTGACATTTCATTTCCTAATCTTAATCTAATTCCAATATTACTATTACAATACACGATATCGAATATTTTACATATAAATCATCTAATTCTCTTAATTGTATAGTTACATACCTCTTTGCCATGAATCTCTATGATCATAATTTTTTCCTGTACATGAAAATTGTATAACAATTCCAAATAACATTATTATTGGTAAAATAAATGCTATTATCCAATGACGAATACATAATGTTGATGTTGATTCAAATAATAAACGTTTATGAATAAAATGTAGTAAAACAGATGATTGAAGAAAATAATCTAAAACAAGTGTTTGACATACACCTGCTAAACATGATGATGTTATAATTAACATTATCTTTTGAAAACGTAATGTTATTATAGCACATATTAAACCTAATAATAATATAAGACCAATAGGTAACCAAAATGATGTTGTTATACCATTAGCACGATTTTTAATATCTAATATAATAAATGTTGTTATTGAAAGTGTTAAACCAAAACAAAAACCATTTATAAATAAACCAACATATTGTAAAAGTGCACCAATTAAACCAAATAATGTTGCTATTGAACATGATACACCAATTAATTGTGATTCAGTCATTGTTGGTTGTGTTGATAATATAATATAAAGTAGAAGTGATCCAAGACTAAATGATGTTACAAACATTGTAAAACGCCACCAACGATAACCTAATAGTAAAATTTTATTTATTTTCTATTTGTATAAAATTCTACAAAAATAAAAATTTTACCTAAAAGTGCATAAAATAATCCAATAAAAGCAAGTAATACATATCCAATAAGCCAATATAAATCATAGTCAATAGGTAAATTTAAATTACAATAATCATCTATCATTGTTTTATTTTTTGATAACCAAGATGTACTATGATTTCGCATATTAATCTAGAATGATAAAAAAAAAAAGATAAATATATGATCCTTATAAATTTTATGATCATGTGATAAAGAAGACATTTAATTAGATACGTTGTGAATGTATAAATACACAAAAAAGAAAAAAAAAAAATGTAGGTGTGTAACTATGATAATTACGTGAGATGAAAAGTTCACCCTCAAGCATGAGCACATAGCTCAATAACATTCTCTTCTTTCTTTTCTTTTTTTTTTTTTTTTTTTATCATTGACAAGGACATCAATAGCAGCACTTGTCGACTATTCTCATCGTAGAAATATATATATTTGTTTCTTTCTTCTTTTTTGTAACAAGTCAAGGTTGATTGAAAAAAAGCAAAAAAACTTACTCGAATGAATTATTATATGCACGATTCTTTAGAGTTTTATATAAATAAGAAAGAGATGCTCATCTTCCCTCTTTTTTTTTTTTTTTTTCTATATATATATATATCTCTTCACTTTCTCTTTCCTCTTCTCTGATTAACTATTGTAGAGTGTGCAAATGTAAAGCGGCCGAAGAGAGAAAGCTTACTAAATACAACTGTATTACAAACGTTTCGATTATATAATAGTTTTTTTTTTTTTGCTCATAAAAACAGTAGAACGAAAGAGATATACAATGTGTATGTATTGATGATGATGATGAACAGTTTCTCTCTGCATAATTAAGTTGAATCATTCTATAGACAGTTCACTGAATTAATATAAGACTCATGGCAGTAGAAACAATGAAATGACACATCTATTCTGTCTACTCGTGTCATGCAAAGACAAGATTTTGTCTATTTCTTTTTTCTTTCGTTCGTTCTCTCTCTCTCTTGCTATAAGCAACCATATACAGAGAGTGAAACGAGTCAATCAGGAATGCGGGCAAGCAAGAACAAACCAGCTGATATGTCGGTTGACCTCTTACATTTTTTTTTCTTCTTCTATGTATAGAGTTCATATTTTATTGATTAAGTACACCGAAAGAAATATAAAAAAAAAAAAAAAAACTACAGAAATCAATCATCATCATCTTCTTGTTGTTGTTGTTGTTGTTCACGATAAATTTGTACAAGTTCATTGGTTTTTGCTTGTTGTTTTTTGATCATATCAACTAATGAATCAGTACGATCGTCTGATCGAAGACTAAGTAGAAAAATAATGAAAGAAGCACGTTAAGAGTATTTAAATTCATATTTTCTTTTGTCTACGTACTATCGTTTTGATTTAAGTATTTTTCGACATGTTGGACAAACTTTATTTTCAGATTTAAGCCAACGATGAATACAATCAGCACAAAAACGATGTAAACATGTTGTTGTGACCATTGTTTTATTAAATAAATCGAGACAAATAGGACACTAAAATCAATAATAGAACGAAAAAAAAACAATTGTTGTTAATGCTTTTTTTCTTACTGAAAGACTTTTAAGAATAGGATCAGCTGGAATACATTGAATATGATCATCATCGATTAATATTTGTGGTTGACGTTGTCGATCATAATCATTTAATTCATAGAGAATATTTTCTTTTATTGATATAGATTTCTTTGATAATTTTTGGCTCATAATCTATAAAAATTAAAATTTTGTTCTATTATAAATTTGATTATTAACTATATTATAACTTTGAAAACAAGGTCATATTGAGAATGTATAGCAAGGATAAACATATGTATTACATAATGGAATTGTTTAGTTATCATACAAGTGATCAAATGACTTATCCAAGGTTAAAATATGACAATAATTCAACTAGAGCGACATTTATGTTATTAATTAATTTTATTTTTGTCTATCAAAATAAACGTCAATGAACAAGGAATTCTTTTCAGATGTCTTATTCTTTTTTTTTGCTTAGAGAGAGATACTCCATACGGGTATATATATTTCGAAGAAACTTTATATGGAAACTATTCTAGTTGAGTTCAGGTTTTTTTTTTTCTCCGGAGGGGCGAAAATTTTTTTTTTCTTCGGGACGACAAACCATATAGTTCATCGCGTTATCTCGAGAGGAACCGAACTCGATTTTCGATGAGGCGCACCACACTGGTTGAGTTCTCTCTATGTATGAAGATTTTTTGAAAATCGAAAGCCAAAAAAAAGTTTGATAGTTTAATCAAATCTCAATGCCTACGTACATTATATAATAGTCAAAAGAATCATTCAAATCAGAAGCAAACATCTGAACATATTCCCTCATTATATATTTCCTTTAAGCAATGATCAACTTCTATATCTATCCTTAATTAAACATACTTCAATAGATATATTCAATAACATTTCTAAAAAAAAAAAATAATCTTAGGGAAATGAGATTGTATTATTCCATTTGTCATTCGAATATCTTAGTTAAACTTGTTGTACTCGTCTATCTTTCATTTTTATTATGTAAAACAAAAAAAAAAAAAAGCATTTCTATAAATAGATGATCATTTTTCGAGACATTGAACTTGTCATCTACATGAAAAGCATTGAAGAAAAAAGAAAACCTACTACAATTTGACATGCTCTGTCATATAAATAGAAAATGAAGGTTCACTAATGAACTATTTTTCTATCGTTATTTTGTATTCTCTTGAATAATATTTGATCTTAAATAAAAACAAAAAAAAAAATTGATTTTGTTTTTCTTTTTATTTTATTCATAATAATTCTACATTGTTATACAATTAAACCTGAGATAATATCTATTTGTTCATATATATATATCTGAGAAATATAAAGTGCATACAAACAATATTTGAGCATTTGTAAAAAAAACCACAAATACAACAACAAAAAGAAATCAATAATTATTTGTGAAATCTACATAATTAAATTCTATAGAGATGAAATTTTTTTGTTAAGCATAAAATTCTTGTGGTGATTTAGAATAACCATATTGATTTGGATAGAGAAGACCTGTTGTAATTGATGAATGTGGTCTATCACGTTTATTAAAATTTTGAACAATACAAATAAGTAAAATAACTGATGTTAAAATTCCAATAGCTAAACCTAAATAGCAAAATTTTATTAAACACAAAAGATTAGTTCTGTTTTTAATTATACTAACCACCAAGAATACCAGCAGCTATAGGTGGACGTGTTAAAAAATTAAAAATACCACGTATAGATGTTGGATGAATAGTTGATAAACGTGTTGATGATGATAATGATATAGTTGTCATTTTTATTGTTGGTTCATTATAAAAAATATCATCATCATCAAGATCTTCTTTATAATCATCATAAAATTCATTTGTATCTAAAGAATTTTTTTTTGTATTTGTTTCATTTTTCTTTTTTTGTTCGAAAATTTTTGTCATTATATGTTTCATTGTTGTTGTTGTTGTTGAAATAGTACGTATTGTTGTAGTTGTAGGCATTTTTGATAATGGATTATCATCATTATCATCATCATCATCATCATCTTCATCAGCATATTCATCAAGATTAGAATTGTTATCATTACCTTCATTATGAATTTTTTTATCATTTATATAATCAATATCATCATCAAATGAATATTGTTTAGGAAATGTAAAAGTTGAAGATGTTTTATCTTTTATATTGTTTGTTAGAGTCGATTGAATAATAATAATAATAATAATTGATGTTATCAAGAGTCGAATAAACATTATTGAACTGAAATTAAAAAAGAAAAAAGAAAAATCATAAAAATCAAGTGATAATAAATAAGAATCATGTGTTAACAGAAGAAAACAAATAGAATTGATTTTGTTATTTCTAAGAAATTGACCATTGGTCAATATTTTAACCGAAATAAAAATCAAGTTATTTATCAATATTGAAAAATAATATTTTAGTTTTTAATATTCAAACATTTTCTATTATTTTATTTAGAATTAAAAAAATAATAATGTTCATAAATACACTAGATGTCGCTGTTAACCAAAAAGAATGCTTATGTTCAATCTTTTTAATGCTGAGTAACTCAAAGTATTTCCGATTTTGATAAAGTACTGTGTTTTGACTTTACTTGAAAAAACAAAGTATCATTATGGGACTCTGCAAATAGTAGCGGCGCCAGTATTTTTGATTCCTAGTGGGAGTTTGAGCCATTTACATTTCCTGTTGGCTTGGTGTTTGTGTGGCACTGCCACTATCTGAAAATTATAAAAGCTCTTTATTTATTTGTTTTATGCATTATTGAAAATTGCTCATCTTTTTCTTGTCAGTATATTATTGTGTATACTTTCTTCATTAGTTCTTTTCGACAGTACTACATCAGGTATGTCAATCGAATCAATTTCATGTTTGAGAACTTAAAAATAGATATATTTCAAATTCATCGATTGAAATAGATATTTTCATCAATTTAATTTGATAGTTTTGATTAAAAATCTAATTGAGTCGACTCACTATATTAGGAATATCATTCTGTAATCAATGAAATTGAAATACATCCATTTTTAAGTCCGTTTTTTTCTATTTCTAATGTAAATTTAATAGTAAAAACTGACTGAGAGAAGTATTTCTTAAACTGAATTAGATGAATATATTCTTTTATTCTATGTAGTTATGAAGGAAAAAGTATCTTCTCTTTCAGATGCTAAAAGTTACACATTGCTGGTTGTAATTGCTATCGAAATATTTCTCTTAGTCTCATATTCTTTGTATTCTGGCGACGAGAGAATTTGAAAAAATTTCATGAGAAAATCTCGATGGGTGATAAAATACTGTTGAATTAGAACTTACTATTTAGTCTTATTTCTAGCACATTGGTAGATGTGATGATACCGAAAATTTCCAGTGAAAACCAGTCTTTTATCATCAAAACAACAGGCTCCTAAAAAATCGTTGAATTTGTTACAGACGTTCTAAAGGGCAGCTGTCTTAGAATGATATTATCTTTGTAAAAAAAAAACATTAATTTTCGTTACAACTTTTGATATATCCTGGGTGTCATTAGATCTAACAATGTGCTAAAATTCAACTCGAAATACGTTCTTGCGCAGTTTTGTCGCATTACAAGGCAGTAACATAGTAAAACGCCTATAATTGTAGAAGAAATATTCATCAATAAACATTTTCTAATCTGAACAAGAAAATTGATTTAAATTAGTAAAAATCCATAGTGATTTAGATTTATGAATATGTGTTTAGTCTTTAAACTCAATCACAATAATGTATGAAGGTATTGATTTTTTAATAAAAATTAACTACGAGAAATAAAATACATTATATGATGTTTTAAAAAATTTTTTACCAATTTACATAATTATAAATGTTGATATAATCCATCAGGAATTCATACAAAATTATTACCTTACTATTATATATAATGATTTCGTAACAGAATTGTTAATATTAGTTGTTCGATGAATAAAAACTGCAACTTTTTCTCTTCAACTATGTAATAAACCTTTCATGCTTTCCATATATATATCATCAAAATGAATTTTTTCTTTTGACGATAATCAATACAATTACATGATTCGATTATTGAATTAGCTGAAGGATCATAATCAATAAATTCGTTTTCTATTTAAACAAGGATAATTGAATCATCTTCTTATTGAAACATATGATATAACATAGGCAATAATTGTTCAAATGTTCTTAGGTGTCACCAAAATGATATATTTACAGATGATCAACCCATAATGGTAATTAACTTTAACTTCATGTCATACATTAAGATTAGCACATAGAACGATATTAGTAGTTTTTTGAAGCAATGAATTTAAATTAAGACAGTCATTAAAATTAAATCTATCAGTTACAGTAAGATATCTTCATTTAGAAGAAAACCAATGTATAGAGATTTTTTAACTTGAAAAAAGCTTTAAAAATATGGTTTGAACTTGAACGATTATTTGTAAATTGAAACGCGTACAATAAAACTTTTCTTCTTTTTAGTAATCATAGGTGTGAAAAGTAGTTCGATCATGATTTAGTAAGCTTTTGTACTTGAAAGGGTTTGGGTGCAGCTCAAAAGAAGATTAACACTCACACCCATATGCGATGATATTAGCTGTTATATTGACAAGATACACCAAACTTTGGATACTTCAACACAAAAGAAATCATTTTATACTCTTGTATTACTCAACGAAAACCATTAAATCAATAATGTCTCGATATTCTGATGTAATAGGGAATCTAAAAAATTTGGAAGGGAATGAGGCAATGATAGGTAAGAATTGTTTCTGAAGGCTTATTCGATACAGTATAAATCCTCTTCTTCGTTTTTACTGAAGAAAATTGAATGTCTCCCTTTCCGTCCAATCTGCCACCACTTCAGTGCTCGTATACTGAAAAATGTTCCCTCATAGTATAGATCAACCTTTTTGTAGAAAGATGTGTGTGAAAATCTCTTTGCAATTAGATTTTCCTACTTTAATTTCAAGCAACATTGTGGTGACTCTTGAGTTGTATTTAGAAATAATGTATACATAATGACAAGAGTTTTTGCAAATTATCATTGACGAACAGATTTTAGTTTCTAAATTTATTTATATAGGTTGAATATTATAACATAAACTATAAAATACAATTCATGTGTCAAGACTTCAAATTGATTTTTACGACATATCTCTATTGCATAAGTATAAATAAATGACAAACATCGTTTTTATTTCAAATGAATTTAGAGACAATATTGACAAAAATGCTTATAATTACACCGTCAATAGTAGTTATAATTAATTTTTTTTTCTTTAATATTACATTGCCTCTTAATTTTCTTTGTTCATCAATAGATATGTACACGATGTGAATAAACATAGAGAAGAAATCTATCAGAATCATCCGGTAAGGTAATTCGTTTGCAGAATCTACGTAATGAGTCATGAACGTTGTGAGACATTAAAACTTCGAGTAATAAGAACATCAAAACTAATGTGATGCATATCATAGACATGATAAATACTAGATAATCAAAATAAAGAATAATATCATATCGAAAAATAATATCCGATATAATTAAAAATATAAAAGCACAGTATGAAAAGCGAACAGTGCGATGCCATACATATATCATGTCAATGATAATCGAAAAATAATAAAGTAGAAGAAATTTCACCGATAAAAAGTAAGCATTTATTTACAGTTGAAGAGAACAATGTAGATCTGTAAGATGAGAACAATCGCCATCTGAGATTATTTTAATTTCGACTAAACGAGAATATGATAAGTAAGATACATATTGCCAACGATCATATTCAACAAATAACAATGTATACATAAACCCAATTAAGGATAAAACAACGAAAAAAATAAATTGACAGCAAATAATTGTAAATGATTTTTTGCATGATCTATCTGCATTTGTTATAAATAAAATATTAAAAAAAAATAATTCTTTTTATTTAATAGAACTTTGATAATTAAAAAATAATTCAGATTTTAGATAATTATTATGAAATAGGATTAAAACTCTATTCCGATATATATTAGAAATCGATAAGATGATTTAACATTTGAAGTGTTCTTAATATTGTATAGATTTAATTTTTTAGCATAGAATGAAAAATGATTCGATTGATATTATGGAAAAATTAATCATATCCTAAGTAGAATTCTTAAAAATACGATTATAATTAACTAATGTAAACCATTACTCTTGTCACGAACATCTTTTGATTGCTTGATATGACTAGTTGATGACCAAATGGATAGTATGTTTTTGAATGTAAAAGAGCTTCTCATATGTATGATTGATCTGTTCACAATCTTATCAATTGTTCTCATAAGTCTAGCATTTCGTGTAGAATTTACCACACCACTTCTATACGTCATTAGCATATTATGGCGACCGAATATATTTGACTTGATATCCAATAAGAGCAAGAAATTTTTATTTATTATATCACCTATAAAAATTGCTTTTCCGTATTTATTTCTCGTCAAAAATAGAAACAAAATTCTCAATATGAATCTAGCTGTTCCAATGCACAAATTTTCTTATTATTAAATGAGATATTTTCTCTCAAGTTTTAGAGTATCTATTTATTTAAGCACAGAGTTTTGTATATATTCACATTTTTTTATATTTCAATAAAAATACAAACTCGTACTTCTAGTTTCTTCTAAATCAATACTTATCAAGTAAAATATATGTGCACTAAAAATGCTAAGTGTAAATAACATTTTTAGGAAAAAAAAAATCTTTTTGAGGGTGTGGATTTTATCAAATAAATCGCATACTAATATTTCAATGAACTTTTTCATCCAATCTTTACTGATAAAAATTTTGATTCCTTCTGATCAATTTATTTTCAATCGAGGAATATCTGTAATAAACGTATTTATATAGGAATAGAAGAGTGATAAAAATACTAATTTTATATGTGTAAAGAAGGTGCTTATTACATGTACAAGTTTATAGAAATTAAAACGATCATCTGACGGACTGACTTTAAAGAAAATATAGACCTTAACTCAATGTTATATATTACAGGCAAAAATAAAATTTGTAACTGTAATACATTGAATCAAGTAGTATTGACACTGACGAATTTTGGAACTGAGTCAGAAAATATTTTATCATTATCTATAAAGCTGATAAAAGAATTATTAACCCACAGTGATTAATAGTTATATATTCACCTCCGTTTTTTTTATAATATTGTCTATCATTAGGGAAAATTATTTTTATAGATTAACAAGCTAT